ACATATCTGACAAGGGACTTATCTCTAGAATTTATAGAAAACTCCAACACCTCAATAACAAAAAGACAAACAATCCTATTAAAAAATGGGCAGATGACATGAATAGACACTTTGCCAAGGAGGATATTCAAGCGGCCAACAAATACATGAAGAAATGCTCACGATCATTAGCTATTAGAAAGATGCAAATCAAAACAACAATGAATACCATCTTGCTCCAGCACTAGTAGCAAAGTTCAATGAGACAGAAAATAACAAATGTTGGCGAGGATGTGGAGAGATTGGGACTCTCATACACTGCTGGTGGGAATGTAAAATGGTACAACCATTGTGGAAAGCAGTATGCTGATTCCTTCAAAAGTTGGAACTAGAAATGCCATTTGACCCAGCTATTCCATTACTAGGTATATATCCTAAAGAAGTGAGAGCTATGACAAGAACATATATATGCACACCCATGTTCATTGTGGCACTGTTTACAATAGCCAAAAGATGGAAACAGCCTAGGTGTCCATCAACTGAGGAATGGATATCCAAACTATGGTACATACACACAATGGAACACTATGCAACCCTAAAGAATAATGTAGAATCTGCAAAACACTGCGTAACGTGGATGAACTTGGAGGACATTATGCTGAGTGAAATAAGTCAATCACAAAAGGACAAATACAGTATTAGTCCATTATTGTAAAAGTCAAGGAAACGCTTATCTATGAAAGACAATTTCTTGTTGGTTACCAGGGGTGGGAGGGTACGGTGGGTAATATTGTTGGGTAGACAGAGGTAAGTTTAGATTTGGGTGAAGAGAAGGGCAATGTACCAAATGTGAGTGATCAATATAGTGGCATTGAGGAAGAGAAAGACAGAGAGAGGTATGTGGGAAGCACAGACAACAAAGATGAACCCTTTCTCACATATAGTACAGCGTGGTCAGTGAAGGCAAACACGGGTATATGGGTGGATAGATGGGTGGAAAGGCTGAACTATTAGGTATGTCAATGAAGTGGGAAGTGCACTTAAGAACATTTATAGGGTTGGCAGACAATGGTCCTATAACTTTATGTATATGATCTGAATTCCCAGGTGTATAATGGGGCTGACAAGGGTCAAGGTTGTAGTCACTGCTTGGTCACAACCAGCTACCCAGAGGGACTGAGTCGTTGAACCTGTGGGCTCGGGACCATAGTCACAGAGGACATCAAGCTCAATTGGCATAACATACTATACAAAACATTGTTCCATCTCCTACTGTGGTCAGTAGCGACTGGGATCTTAAAAGCTTGCAAGCTGCCATCTAGATGCAACGATGAGTGTCTTCTCATCCAGAGCTAAGAAGAATGAAGAAAACCAAAAATTCATGGAAACAATTAGTCCTAATGACTGGTACACCATCAGATCTGCAGCCTATACGACTATGAGACCAGAAGAACTAGATGGTGCCTGGCTACTACTGTCAACCACTTGGAAAAGGATCTATGTAGGAGATATTGGATAGATAGAACAATGTGGAACAAAACTCAAAATCACTTGGAAAAAAAAAAAAATGGAGGGACCAGGTTTGCTGGCCTGATAGATCCTGGTGGAACCACTGAGACTATATCCCCAAGCTGCCCTTCAGGTCTGGAATTGAACGCATGCCTGTGGCTTCCAGCCAAATAATAGACAGGCATATGAGTTGAACATTTACCTGAGGTAGATATACTCCTTGGAGAGAACAAGCATTGGAGAAAGAAGGGCTTCTTATGCACAGGGAGACAGCTCAGGGGGCAGGCGTGCATGGAGGGATGGACACAGGGAAGAGGTAACTATTGGGAGGGAGTGGGAGGGGACATGTTACATTGTGGTAAACTGTGATCAGTGTCATGAGACAAAGTGTATGTGAACTGCTGTATGGAAAGTGTATTTGCTCTGTAAATTTTCACCTAAATCACAATAAAAAGGAAGAAAAAAAAAAGAAAGAAAGAACTTTAATAACATAGTACCAGGAAGGAGATGTAACCAATAAATGTTAGGAGCCCTGGGCATTTGGAGACTGCTCTTTGAATGCATACCTACCCTGTCCATGTGTAGGCATCAGAGCTGGCCAAGTAGGTGAAGCTTCTATCTTGATGTAGCTCACAATCTAGAAATGGAGGTGAACATCAAATAAATGATCATGCAAACAATACATTTAAAAATATAAATCATTATTGGTACTCTTAATAGAAAAGTAAAAGTGTTGAGAAAATCCAGACTACCGGTAATCCTCTACTTATGATAGGCCTCTTTTCTGACAACTCTCTTTCCGTTTGTTCTAATGCAAGTCAAACACCTCTCTCTGTCTTTTTTTTTTTTTTTTCCAGCTTTCATTATTATTGCCTCTTATTAGCAGTATCTTTATAAATAATAATATTGAATATTTGTGAGTGAACATCTGTGAATGATTACATCTGCAGATTACACACTGCAACACTGTATGTAGTAACTTTTACTAATGATAAAATGTACAAAAAGAAGGTGGTAAGTGCAGTTCATCATGACTTGAAAATGTCTCAATTCGAAGACTACCCTGAGTGGCTTAACTTTTCTAAATAACTATATGAGCTAAAAGTTAATGGATGAGTATGACTTAGGCACATGATGAATGGAGGAAAGAGCTCTCTGGGGAGAGGAAACCGTGTTTACGAAAGCTCTGAGGCAGGAGTCTGCTTGATATGTTCAGATCACTAAACTCAGGCTGCTATGGCACAAATGTCATGGATGAGGGAGACAGAAGAGTAGCAGCAGATAAGATTGAGAAGGTAGGCAAGGAGTTTTATAATAAGTGAATTCAGAAGTCAGTCAGTGGAGAATCTTGAACTTTAGAATGGCATCATCCAGTTTGTTTTTGCATTTTTGAAAATGCAAAGGATGGATCAGAGGGTGAGCACAAGTAGACAGGAAAATCATGGATTAGATTAGCATAAGATTTGTAGAGTGATAGAAAAATGGACAGGTGTGAGGAGATGAGAGGGAAGAGCCTAAAAGCACCTACATTAAATCAGGTGGTAGGTTCTCTGGTGTCTGTTATATTATTATCTTTAGTTGAATATTTGAAATACTCTATGCCTTTTAATTTAAAAAACAATGAGCAGTGAAGAAAGTGAGACATGGCCAACCTGTGGAAACAATTCTCTAAAAATTCTCTGTAAAACGTAATAGAACAATAGTGGTGAATATGCTGTCAAAGGAGTGTTTTTTGTTTTTGTTGTTTTTACATAGATACACATGGTTAGGAAATTTATCAATGTAGAAAAATGTAGAAATGTAGAAAAATATAAAAATGTGATACTCTTTATCCTTCTGTCCTTTTCTTTCTTCCCCCACCAAAGGTACCTGCAAATAGATTTTTCTTTTAACAGCTACTTAATATTCTATTAAGTAGAATCTCTCAAAGAGATGGATTGACACTGTGACTGCGATGATGGGCTCAAGTATGGCAAGGATCATGGAACTGGCGCAGAACTGGGCAGTGTTTCGTTCTGCTATGCATAGGGTCGCTATGAGTCGGAGATGACTCGATGGCACCTAACAACAACAACAATGTTCTATTGTATGGCTATCCCTTAAGATATCTCATGAATCACTTACTGATGGATGCTTTAATAAGTCTGTTATACTTTTTAAAAATTAGATGTGAGAACCCTTTTGAATAGGCTGAAGGAAAAGATGGTATAGAGAGGAGGAAGAGATACAGAAGAAGGAGGCAGACAGAGCAGAATCCAAGGAAGTGGGGTCTAGAGCACATATGGGGGTGTTGTCCTTTGAAGAGAGTAGAAAGGAAGGGAAAATGTGCATATGGCAGTGGCATGAAGATGAAAGATGTCTATCTAATGTTTTCTAGTTTTCACTCCAGTGATAAGTGAGGCACAGCTATCTATTGATAGTGCAAGGTGAGGAGAGGGAACAGAAACTTACATGAGTGAAGAAGATAGCATGACCAGAGTGGGAGAATGATCCTGCCAAAAATAAAGTGTCTTAAAAGTGTCTTTTGATTGATGATCATGAATTTATAGTGAAATCAGTGTTGTATAAATTTTAATTCCTGAAATTTCAATAACTGTATTAAGTATTTAAGTTCTGCTCAGACTGAACCTGTTTGCTTGGTGAAGGTTGGGTACAGTTTGGTTATGTGTTGTGTGAAAGTAGAAAAGGTGACTTCCGGAATGGCTTTCTCTCCTGGAAAAAAAAAAAAAGCCTATTGCCACAGAGTGAGATTGAAGAATTCCAACCTAAGATTTCTCATGTAGTTTCTTTTCAGAATATTTTTCCACCAATGATATACGTTGTATATCTGGCAGACTGTTTATGAGAACTTCCCTCTAGTTAGCTGATGACTACTTTTTGATTCCAATTACTTTTCCTAGAGCCCCGGCCTGAAGTTCCTTTCCATCTTCATACTCTACTAGATTGATCCTTAGTACTTAAAACTCAGAAACCTGGGTTTCATTCTTGTTGAATCATTATTTATTTGTATGACTTTGACAGATTGTTTAATTTCTCTTTGAGTTTCATTTGAAAAATGAAATTTAACAACAAAAAACAAATTTTAAAAAATCCTATGGGTCACAAAAAAAAATTTGTTTTTAAGTGTGTTGATATTAGAGGTATAGGTGTATAAATATTGTTGTTATTGTTATGTGCTGCCTAGTCGGACCCGACACATAGTGACCCCTCCTTGGGTTTCCGAGGTGGTATCACTACAGAAGTAGATTGCCCAACCTTCCTTCCCAGGAGTGGCTGGTGGGTTTGAACCTCCAGCCTTCTGGTTAGCAGTCAAGTGCCTTAGGCACTATGCTACCAGAGCTCCCATATAAATATTAGTATAACATTTATACAGTTTTCCATTCTAAATTCTGCAGTACCTCTTGAAGATTAAGAATCATTAAAATTTATTTGCCCCCCTTTCAGAGTCATTTCACTTGTCTGCACCTTATACTATATTTTTAATCCTCAGGAATGCCAAGAAGAATTGGCAGCGCATTCAAGAGCATTTCTTTTTTGCAAAATTTCACCCACTTAAGGATTATTGTCTGGAGGTGAGTAGAGAATATCATTATAAGTTCTTTAATGTGTCTTTAATCTTGATGCTCCCTTACTGCTCAAATTGCTGAAAGGCTATGATTAGGTTAGTTTTTTTCCTTGTTTGCAAACATCACCTTAACATTTTAAACCTTTTAAGTTTGATTTTGTCACTCTTTATGCAGATGACTTGCTTGCATTTCACTCTTAAGCAGTGAAAATTGGCTAGTCATTTTCACTTTCTATTTCTCAGGCAGTGTCTGGCTTGTAAACACTGGAAGGGAATATTTAACTCTAAACAGAAATCAGTTCTGACATAAAAAGGAAATGAGTGAAAACAGTTGTACAGGTGAGATTTTGTTGTAATGAAGCTCATTGTTAATGAAAGAACAAAAAGATCTATTTTTTTGTTAATTGCATTTTTTGGGTTCTGGATGACTAAAATTGAATAGCAAATGACCCACCACATTGATTATAACAGAAGGTGCTTATATAATTTTAAGAACACAAACATATTTATTATAATTAATATATAAATTATGTCATTTAATTTACTGTAAAATTTAATGTATAAATTGCTAAAATTTGTGTCAACCATATTACTCTTTCCCTGTTTCAACTATAATTAAAATGTTCTCCCTTTGAATTTAAAACATTTGATCTAGGATCATTTTTCTAAAGAACTTGGGCCTATTAGTAATTTTAACAACTGTTAAACAATTTTTTTGGGTGGATTACTAATAAGTTACCTTTTCAATTTTGTGTATGTGTGTGTGTATTTATATATATGTGTGTGTGTGTGTGTATGTGTCATGAGGGACATTAATATGTATTTTCTGTTGCTTCAGTACAAATGCTATTGAAGATTTTCTTAACTGTTGGTTTTGAAAATAGCAACAAATATTTCAACATGCTCTGCTCTGTGTTCTTTAGTATCCAGAGTGCTTTATTTGACAGCTTTCTGAAGGACTCCTTTAATAACTATCTAGTGTTAAGTCAGCCTTTTTCTATTCAGTTCTCCAGCAGTAAGTCCCTGGCTTCTCTCTTTCTGTTGTCCCTTTCTTTGACTACCTCGCTTTTGTTGTTGTTGTTGTTGTTGTTGTTATGTGCCGTCGAGTCGGTCCCGACTCATAGCGACCCCTCCTTGGGTTTCCGAGGCAGTATCACTACGGAAGTGGATTGCCCAACCTTCCTTCCGAGGAGTGGCTGGTGGGTTTGAACCGCCAGCCTTCTGGTTAGCAGTCAAGTGCTTTAGCCACTATGCTACCTCGCTTTTATATATTCTTAATTCTCCACTAATGACCTGAATCATAATTACATGTGTAAATAAAATTATGGAAGTTAATGACTCACAAGAATTCTGTCTCTTCATAAAATTTAGAGGTTTACCTAGGATCTTTGGATACTTAACATTTAGTTGCAGTAATGAAGAAAACCATACTATTCTAAAAGACTTACACATTGTTATAAGCTGCTTATTTAGTTTTTAAATTGCCTATTTGTGATTCTTATTTGGTACTTCTTACCATTGGTCATTTTCTGGTTCTTAGTTTTTATTTAGTAGGGAAAAGGAAGGGAGTGTTGTTTATATGTGACTAAATAGAAGCTATTTACAGTGGTATTGCACTGAGCAGTTTACAGAATGTTTCCATGTCCTGTTTTAATCTGTTTGTCCTTATTTTACAGATATTGTTGTTGTTTTTATGTACCCTCGAGTCTGACCCGACTCATAGCAACCCCTCCTTGGGTTTCAAAGGCAGTATCACTACGGAAGTAAATTGCCCCATCTTCCTTCCAAGGAGTGGCTGGTGGGTTTGAACCGCCAGCCTTCTGGTTAGCAGTCAAGTGC